TTTTTTTTTTTTTTTTTTTTATTCAGATTTTACCACGTTTGGAGCCAGAGCTGTCCCTTACTTTGAGCACACGCACTTCCCAAACACAGAGGTGCCCTGCCCATATTTCAGTCTTTTTGTGACAGTCGATTCACCAGTGGTGAAACTGGAAGTACTACCGTAAGCCCCGTGAGATAAAAGGCAACTCAAGGAAAGCAGGAGAATTCATTCTCAATAAACCCTGAGAACTGTTTGTTCTATTTCTATCTTTGCATTTATGAGTAGTCTTGTTCCTTTCTTTCTCTCAGGAGTCATACCAATAGCATAATGTGCATCAAGGACCAATAACATAATGGAATTTTAAATYACACCTTTTTCCATCTAATCCAGCTTTGGAGGATGCTCTCATTCCACAGTGAATGCAGAAGTGTCTATGTCTTCTCCAGCTAATACCTGCTTATTCACGCTGGGCAGCAATGAGATTTACTTCTGCAGCCTCACGTTCCCTCTTGCTGTCTTAGGCAATGCAAGTCCAACTCCTGACCCAACTGTGCCAYGGTGGATGAAACACGAGGGCTCCAGGGCTAAGCGCTAGCCCGGGCTGCACTGAAGCCCTCGTCCTTCCATGTCCTTGGGGAGAATGCAGCGCACGGGACTCGGCCCCTATCGCTGCAGCCTTTCCAAAGTTGGTGCCTTGCCTACAATCGTCATCTATTTGCTTCCATTGCCAGAGGGAGAACGACAGAAGCATCCAGATAGTGATTCATACACCTATCTCAGGATGGGCTGAATCACCCTCTGAAAGCTCCCTCCAGTGACTATAGGAATTGTAGACAACTGGCTTAAAATAGATGCCTAAAATTAGACAAGTAAACGTAGATGAAATGAAATCCATCCTATGGGGTTTTCCATAATCGGGGCAGTTAGCTGGGCCCCTTTATGGCTTTCTTTTGGAATATTCTTCTTGTCRTGACACACGAAATCTTGCGTACTCCCTGGGAAGAAGGTGGGAATATTGTGAAGTGTGGCATTTGCTGGTGGTGTTGCTAAATAAAGTGTTGGGCCAATTCTGTTGAACCAGCGACACTGAGCAATAGCATCAGAAAGTGAAGCTGTGACTACATGGGCAGGGGCTTTGATGCAAAGGATGAATAATATTTCAAAGTGAAAAGTATCCTGCTATTTTCACCTCCTTGTTTTCAAAGGAGCAGGAGGGGAGAAGGAAAAGGTGCTCACTGAAAATCCTGAGCTAGATTTTTAATAATGTCGACTTTCCGCCTATGCTATCCCCCCTTTTGCCTCACATAGTGAGAAACTTTCCAAGGTTGCCAATGGCACTTAAACAGTCAGCCCACTTTCAGAATTTCAGTCACCTCTTAAACACTTAGAGGCTGAATGGAGTGAAAACCCGTTTTCAGAAGAGTTTCCAAGGAAGTAGAAAGTTTCCACACCCTGAATCTTACACACAAAGAAATGGAAACTGCATCTCTGCTGCCAGCAGTCTGAACGGCCGTATCACGGGCTATTGACTGCTGAATTCTGTAATAAAAAATGTGAACATGCTTGGTGCTGTATTAAAACACACAAATACAGTTTGAAACGTTTAGTTGAACTTTGCGTAAGGAGATTTCTCTGTACTTTGTGTAAGAAGATTTCTTGTTTACAAAATTCCATTTAATGACTACTTTCACACAAGGGCAAATGTAGTAAAATAAAATAAAATACTGTACTTTAACATTCACTCTAATTCTGTGATTGGCCCAAGCCCTATTGAAGTCAATGGAGAGACTTCCTGAACTTTGAAGGCTTTGGGTGGCATATCATCAGGCTCCTTCTTTAACCATTTTTGATGATTTTATGTCTATGCAGTAAAATATAACTCATGGCCTATTCAATCACTAGCTAACTGACAGGTATTTCCAGCTCAGAGGGGGATAAAAATAACAACAAAGTTATGTAGGGTTTGTTCATGGAGTTGCTTAGGAGTGCTGATTGGGAAAGTGGAAAAAGCATTTTTGGGATTCCTCTGCCCTAAATGGATATTTGCTGCCAATGTCAGGCTTAGTCTTGTTATCATTTTGGTTACAGCACAGCAAAGTTAAATTATTTTAATTAAATTGTTATGTAAAAGCTGATGGCTTTGCATTGCCTTTCATATTATACAATAGAAAGACGTTATTATATAAAGAACCAATCAACCAAACCAAAAATTCTTTCCAGAAAACTCTTCTTGTTTAAAGTGTGATCAAATAGTAAAAGCTTTTGTAATGAGCAAATAAAGTTTGTGAACAAGATTTATTTCTCTACAAATTAACTTAGTTTCCAGACCAGTCCAGAAAAAAAAAATCATCACCTTTTCCTGTTGATAAATTTCAGGATCAAAATGCCAAGTCATGGGTGGGTTAGGAAAATCTTGTTTATAATCAAAGGCTTGGCTACCTTCCTACATTTTTTACATTTTAATTATACGCTACATTGGCATCCTGCTACAAAGACACTACTTTCTGGAAATTCCAACTATTTACATGACTAAGCCATAATTAAATCAAGGATTCTTGCCTTTTCCTTTTTTTTTTTTTTTAGTAAAGAATTGTCATTATCGTTATTTGCTGCAGAGAACATTCCTTTGCTCCCAGTGGATATTGGTAGCAAAAACAAACAAGACTATTATTCTCATGCAGCCATTAAGAAAGATGGTCGAATATCTTTCTTTATCTTTCAAGTAGTTGTTAAATACTGCTGCCAAATCAAATTAATGGTTCCTGATATAAAACTGATGGAGATGTCCATTACAAGTGTCAGTAAAATCCACAGATGATTAACAGAGTGAAACCCATCGGCATGCTCCCGAAGAGCTCCTGAACTGTTTTTTTGTTTGTTTGTTTTTTAACTGTGTTTTGACAATTTAACCTAAATAGATGTGGTGCAGGCAAGCAGCACCTGAACTCCTTTGTAAGCCTTATTTTCACAGGAAWTAAAAATGAAGATAACACATACCTTTTTAATCAAGCTGTTGTGAGAATTAGATGTCTGAAAAAGTACATTACATGTAACACTATCAGCTCCTTAGAATACGTCAAATTCTAAATCTTATAGCTGCATCTCCCCTTTTCTAGCAATTCCAATGGGTTCAACATGTTTCGRTCCTTGTTATTGTTTCTTACATTAACAAACTGAAATGAAAGGTATCGCTGAATTGGAAAGTATTMTTATTACAATAGTAGTCATAAGGAATTGGATTTGTATAAAACTATAAAGCAAAAACATTGAGATGATTCATTATGCATCACATGGAGAAAGACGTAATGTTGTTAATATGGGAGAACAGCTGTGTCTGTGTATTTTAAGTGCCTCTTTTTTTCTCTGATGAAAAGTTTTTTTTCTGAAAAAAAAGAAAGAAAAGAAGAAAAAAAACCCCAACCTGATCTTGATTACTGATACTATTGAGAAAGTTCATTGGGAAATGAAAGCRGTCATTGCTGTTGCCATTAATCTCATTTTATGTTAGTTTGGCTTTTACTGCAGAAAGTAAAAACGCTTGAGTTTTGTTGCATACTCGGTCCCATATGTGAGTTAAAGCAAGTTGACAAGCAAGCCCTTGACGCAACCTCACGCACTCTTTGGTTAGAAGCTGTAGAGCAGCAACAGCCCAGATGGGACTTGCTCACTTTATTCCAATTAATTGACCTTTAATTAAAAATGCAACATTTTGTTTTGTTATAAAGAGACATGATTAAAGGGTGCTCATTTGCTAGTTATCTGTATTTTTTTTGATGGTAAAGCTGTTTTGATGTGTGTGAAAAAGAAAGCTCATAACTTTCCATTCTGTCATACTTCAAGCAGGGACCAAAATCACTCTCATGAGTTAATGATATCTATATAGCAATATGCTGTGTTTGTAAACATGACCACAATCTCACCTTACTCATGTGAGTGGGGCAGGCTGGTCACCAAGGGCTYGGTGTCCTTGCTGCTGTGACTGGCTGCTTGCTGCACAGGTTACCTACCTTAATCCCCTTTATTGCCCCAGCCAGTGGTGGAGAGATCTATATAATTTATTAGATGATCCACCTGGATTTTAAAAGTATAGTATGTTCATATAGGGCAGATGTTCCTTATCAATCCTGGGGAAGTCGTTAGAAACATGTAGGTTTGCCCAAGGAGCGGCCTCCTCTACTGACTGGGCTGGAATAAGGATGAGTTATAGAGTCTTGGCTATCTGCTATAAAGATCTATGCTAAAGATGCAAGTTCAGTTAGTGCCAGGCAATGGAGAGAAGGAGATGGCGACAAAATAAACCTGGGACAAACCTGTGAGAAAGTTATGGGGCGGAAAAGTGGTTTCAGAGGCTGGTCTGCTAAAGGCAATGCTTCACAAAGCTGCTTCTTCAGTTTGAGACCAGCAACGTGGCCCCTTGCGAGCGACTCTCATGCCAGCGCTCAGGAGCTGTCCTTGCTGCTGTCATTAGTCAGTCACTCTTTTATAGCGCCCAAAGATTTGCTCTGTCTTAGCCACTGTTAGAGGTGATGACTTTTTAATGGCAGCCAGCACGCCTGAAGATTTCCTGAGATGGAACAATATTTTGAAAGCAGACATTTCCCCTGTAAAGCCAGATGCCTGGCCTCCTATTGCTGTAATATCGAGGTTAATTTGGGAAGCTGAGCCCTTTGAATTACCACTGCAGTACAACGACATCTACGTGCTTGTTTTTTGATGTTTTATTTCAGATCCTTGTAAAAATACCAATGCAAGTTTTAGCTATTACTAATCACATTAAACTAGCGGACACATTTTACTATTTGGCAGCGGGTTTATYCTATGTACTGTAACTGAGTCTGTAACAAGATTCCCACTTCACTTTGTTTGCTTATTTGGTAGTGCAGATAGAAATGGGAGGATGCCGAAAATTAAAACTCGATTTAGGCCACATAATCTCCTTCATTAACTATCAGAGATGCTGGATAAGGTTCACTTGGGAACCTATTAATGGAAACACATCTGCTCYGTCCATAAGAATCAAAAGTTTGATAGAAAGTGATTAACTGCTGCTAATGGAAGGAGGCYCTACTCTGGGAGAGCAAATATGCAGCACACTTGGATGCACAAAGCACATAGCACAGATGAACGTAGCTCTTGATATGTCCCGTTTGCAGATGCAAAGGCAGCTCTGAGGGTTGTCAGGGCTGCATATGGGCCATGTCAGGCCACCTGGCCCCTGGCTGGCAAGCCCCTTTGGTGCAGACTTTCTCCATAACAGCTAACTGGAAAGAAGCCTTTCTTTCCCGATTCAAACATATTTTATTAACAGTATTTGTATTATGGTAGTCACAAGAGACCCTAATCAAACCAGGGCCTTCTAGTATTAGATGCTGTCCAGACACATAATACAAACCAGCTCTTGCCTTTAAGTTCTTAAAGGCTTGCAGATAAGGCAGAGCACRGGAAGGGAAACCCGACACGATGCAAGGAAGTGACACGACCTGCCTTGAGTTTTACAAGACAACTGAGATCTCACAGGTCTCAGTACAGCACTACTGGACCATAYCTGCTGCAAGGGTGGAAAATGAGGGATGGAATCAGCAGACACATGCACTGCCCCATGTTGGCTCCAGCAACAGGGAGAGCAGCTGTCCTGGAAGATGCTCTGAGTATTTCTGCAGAAACCTCAGGAACGTTCCCGATTTACAATCACCTTCTAAGAGGACAATGCTATACCTCTTTAAACGTATAGAAGGCATGAGGCAGAATGGCAGGAAAATCCTGCTTATTTCTAGGCACTACACCAGCAAGCAGAGTCTAGATGAAGACAAAAACCTGCAGTTCTGATGCACGGTGCCGCGACTGGACGTTTCTGTAGAAGATCTAATGTATTCATGCTGTCAGGTCACATACATTAGACCTAGAAACCTGGTGTTTTCTTTCTTCTTCCTCCCCCCTGCCCTCCTTTTTGGAAGCACTTTGAGCAAATATATTGAATGAGACATTTGTGAGCATGGAGCCCATTAATAACACAAGTCAAATGCAATGCTGCAGACTCATTCATGCTGCTCTTGGGAGCCAAGGAAATTAAAATCCTATACATTTCTTTTCTGCCCTGGGGAAATTAAAGACAAATCTTGTGATGGGGCTGATTGGAGACAGGTGAAATGTCTGTTTGTTTTTAAAACTATACAGATCTCATTCTGAGAGTCCCTAGATTTCTTTAAAGCATGTTCTGTGGCTATCAGAGGATAGATGACTTGCAGAAGAAAAACAAGTTTGAAGACCATCTGAGAACCAGTACCTGTTCAGACGCCAAAGAGTAAAAGGTTCTGTAGTAGAAGACTCCCTTCTGCCAGCTGGTGGAGACACGCATCTTTGATTTCCCATAGTCGCCAGGACACATATCTGTAAGAACAAGAACCTGTGGTCAAGTTACTGTTAAAAGAACAGCAGCAACAGCAAAAACCTTCCATGAGTCTCAAGGAATCAATAAACAATGCAACAGGCAGTAACAAACAAGTTTTGCAGAGGCATATCTTTTTTGGATATAAAAATATATTCAGGGCTATATTGCTCCTTTATATAATGGACATTTTATTCAAGGTGCATTGGAGCTGTGGCCGTGCACATATAGCCCTGAGTACTAGTCCTTCTCCAGGCAACCACTGCAAACCAGGATGCAGATGTCAATTAAGTTAGTAGTATTAAGTGGCCAGGCAGACATCAAAATTGCTTGGTCACGCATCAGACATTCTCGTCTAAATAGATATATAAATGGCCTCGTTTTATAACTGCTTCCTCCAGTCAAGCTCCCATGATATACTGGACTTGCTTATGCTCCTTTTATTGCTGCCATCTGATTGTATAACCCTCCACTGATAGCAGCTCTTCATATTGCATCGATTATAAAGAGAACAGGAAAATGAACAAAATGTACTCTTTGTGTTTACAGTATGAACTATAATTTTGTGGCCCTCCTTGGACGCCTTAACAGAAGAATCAGATGCACTATTCTCCATGTTTGGCAACATGTTCATGATTTTTCTGGGAGCTGTGTCCAAGTTTACTCAGCTCTTGTAACTGTGCTTGCCTGCGATCACGAATGACTTTTCTTAGGGCATGGGAGACAATSGGGACTCTTGGTGAACCTGTTGTGACAAGGCACGAGCTCCTATGGAACCAAGAATTCTGGAAGAAGAAAGGATGCTCATCAACCTTGAAAAGTGGCACTTCTTCTGCAAGCAGCTTTTGATCTGAAATTAAATTGACCGAATACCACGCGAGAGAGAGGGAGGGTGATGCTCTTGGCAGAGGTTGCCCTACTCTCCAAGCTGACAATATTGGGATTGACGGTTCTCCACTGGCAAAACCTTCTCTGCTCCCCGCCTCGTTGTGCCACAAACTCTGGTTTTGCTCTTCTCAGCTTCATTCACGTTGAATGACTCAGGGTTACAATAGCCTGATTAAATTAAAAGTTTAAGGTACGGTGAATCTGATTTTTTTTTTTTTTTTTTTTTTAAGAAACCAAAGCAGAGAAAAAGGAATTTATTTATTTATCTCTTCTTCCATTCTAAGAACTCCTATGAAAATTGAATTAGTTCTTTGTACAATTGCCTTTCTTTCTTTAGGGCCAAGGAGTAGAAGTGAGTGTTCTTCCACTCTTCTGTACAGTAAGAAAAACACTTCTACTATGGGATTAACTACACCAAGTGCTAGTGCCTGTCTTGCTCAACTCACCTCAGATGTAACAACAAAAAAAAAAAAGAAAAAAAAAAGGAAAAAAAGAAAAAAAAAAGCAGCAGTTTGGTGTAACTCTGTAACACGGACCATGCAGACTTAGCTTTTTGCACTAGTTTCAGAGTCAAGCCAAAAGACTGCATAGGGTCAAATGTATAGACAAGATCCAAAAMCAAGAGGCCACACTGGTTCACCCTCTTGTATTGCTCCTGGAAAGTGTGCACTGAAGTTCTGYAGGAATACGGGTCTTTCCTGGGAGCGTATCAGTATCCAATTTCCCTAAATAAGCCTATATAAAACAAAAAGGCACATKAGAGGAAAGGAAAACTGAACCATGTTTCCTCAGTTTCCATTTCTGCTGAACAGCAACATTCGTTGGAGCGTCACTAACGCTGTTTTTGTTTTGTTTCCATAGTCTTCATCAACTGTGTTTGTTCACAGAGAGATTTCACAGCATTTTTCCCATGCAAAAGAATCGCTCGGTCCTTGCAATGTTCTATTAGCTGTTGTCTGCCCAGTGATGAGCTTAAACTGCAGYGAGGGAGATTAGATAACAGAAAAAGGAGGTTAGATAACAGGAAAGCAAGGCCAATCCACCACCAGGAATGTTGCAATAACATAGGCAGGGAAGAGCCTGAAAGCTGTAGTGTCACTTGAGGATTTTAATAAGGGTTAGACGAAGACCTATGGGAACGGAGGAACTTGTCTTTGTTCAAGCTATTGACTTTATAGCCCCTCATCCAGACCTGGTTTCTATGGCAGGGTGAATTTTTTCATTGGTAAATACAGATTAAATAAAGCATGAGTAATGTGTATGTAGATCTGGATGATATCTTGGCACCAAAATCAATTTCCTGCTCGGACAGATTTAGATCGGTTTAGTTCTCTACAGAGATTGGAAAGTTGTTTCAGAACATCTTTCCTGTGATGCTTAAAACCCCTCTTTACATTTCCATCCTAAATTTACTCAAAAATGGCTTGATTCCAGGCCAACATTGTCCTTTAGCTTAAATAACTCTCCCTTCCCTGGGGGTTTACCTGCACTATTAATAGAAAGCAATCAAATGCCTCCTTTTCCTAGCTTAAACACAGCTATTTTAGCTTTTTCTCCCACCTCCCTGCTCGCCCAGTGCTCTTCCCCTGAACCCACTGTCCTTGTCTGCCTCCGTCCTTTGTGCTCGCCACATCTCCAGTTAATGCTCTTTGCATCTTCCTTCTCCCTTTCCATTGCAATGAAGGCACCTTGTCACGGAGACTCCTCTAGTTAACATGAATTTCACTTCTTTTACCTAAGAGCGTGTGTGTTAACAAATTAGTGATGATTTGACAGTAATTCTGATGTGTCTTGCAGTAGATGAAGCCAGGCTACGAGGCCAAGCAGGTGATCACAAGCTGCAAATAGGTATCACGGCAGTAAATAAATGTCCTTTATGAGAACGATACGCTGTACAACCTGTTTTGGGCATGCACATATGCATGCAGATGGAGAATTTCAAACTCCCTGTCTTTATCCCAAGATTATTATTATTATTACTAGGTTTATCACTACCATGCTGCTCCTCCTGCCTGGGCAGCCAGCAGGGATGGTGAAGGATCCCCCTTAAAACCCACACATGAGGCAGACATCAGCAGGTAAGCACATAAACCTTGTGTTTTGTTGTGATGGAATCCGGGCAGGAGAGAAGGCAACTTGGAATTCACCACGGAAAATATTTCTGAAAGCAGCTGTGGGAGAAAGGTTACTCAGCTAGCATGGGAATTATTCTGGGGTACAATAAATCCTTGCAGCTCTGCCATCAGCTCGCACAACCAGCCTCCTCCCCAGTCCTGCTTGGCACCCTGTGCCCTGCTCCCCTGCAAGGAATGGACTGGATTTCTGCCTTTTTCTCCACCACTTCCCTAAGCTTTCCATGCTCCACAAGCCAAAAWTATTTAAACTGCAAACATCTCTTTTTCTTTATGGGAAGAGGTAGATTGCTCCACATGCACACGGGAACAGGATCTTCCTAGACCTTCACGTTTAATTGCAAGTGCCTTGAGTTGGGGCATGCACTTTGAGAGCTGCAAGCCCTTACCTCCACTATTCCCCCTGCAGATGCCTGGAGAAAACCCCCCTTTTTCCCCCAAAGTATTATGGCATGGGCAAATTAATGACCAGGAAAGGAAAAACAGCATCTAAGGGACTGTTAACTAATGTGGCCCTGCTAGGAGATGACTGGTTTCATTTGGCCTTTGAGGCAGTCGTGAACTYAAGGCCAGGGGTGAGCTGAAAACTGCTCGGATGTCTATCACGTAACTTCAGCAAGAGCCTGCTTGGCACATTTCAGCGCAATGAAAACAACACAGAAATATTTCAGTGTAGGCTGAATGGGGGGAAAAAAAGACAGATGCGTAGTAATTAATCTCATCCGTTGAAATTTGCTTATGCTATTTCTTTCCTTCTTTAATCATTGTTCCAAACCTTCAGCAGGGATGAGAGAAGTGACAGGACGTTTTAAATAAACGTTTCACTCCTAAGTACATTTTTGAAACAAAAGAAATTAAAAGCAAATACACTTTGAGCCTGACTGTTAGTGGCTGGCATATTGTTTTCAGCTCATCAGTTGAATGCAAGTCCAAAATGCTAATACTTGTGTAGCTACATCTCCAGTTCCTTTAATTTTCTTGATCTTCAGCTTGTGCTTTGCTTATGTCAGTGGAGTTAGGTCAGCTACATCTCTTAGCCTTCTGACTCAGATTACTCAGAAATATATATATATATTTTTTTTCATTGGACGGATAGGATTTGATTTTAAGTGGGGAAACTGGATATGCTTGCTTCGAAAAACAATTATTAGCAGCATAATGGCAGCTTTTCCTCTGTAGAAACTCCTCTTTATTCTTCATGGAAAACACCAAGGAGTTTTTGGAATAAGTGCAGCACACTTTTTTTTTTTTTTTTTTTTTTTTGGAAACTACTACAGCATTTTTTCCCCTTCAGCTTTGTCAGGAATATCTTCAGATGGGAAGTTTTTCATTCTATATATGGCCTGAGTTAATTGCTTCCCCTTCCAAGGATTCTCAGAGATGTGTTTAGTGAGACGCTGGAGAAGCTGTGCTGAGTGGTGGGAATGGCAATCTACAGGCATCCAATGCAGAAGGAGCAGAAGCAGGACCAGAGCTGGCAGTCAGAAACCACAAGCCCGTACATGACCTAGGAAGGAAGCAAAAAACGATGCTTCCGAAACCCATAGCATATAATAATTCACTTTAATGTTCCGTTGTTGCCTTGAATCCATGGCAGGGRAATAAAAAATGGAAAACTTCAATTGAGATTTACTAGAGCAAAGCTGTCTCCTGGTCCTCCAGCTGTCAGGGAAGGAGCTCTGCTCCCCAAGCTGCAGTTCTTGAAGAAAGGAGAGCTCTGCATGGCAGGAGGGATGTCCCTCCTGGTCATCCCGCAAATGGTCATCCCTCCAAAAAACTCCTAAAAGCAGTAATAACRGGACCTAGCTGCACACAGGAGAGACCGTGATGGTACTCTTCAAAACAGGAAAAAAAAGACTATTATCTTCAGAAAACAAATTTTCCCTCTCTCACAGGCATGATCACTGAAAGAATTCTGAAAAATTTCCGTCTGTCTTTGCATGTCTTGAAGAACCTCAAGCTGTTGATACCTGATAAAATCC